ATCCAGTCTTTAGTACTAAACTAGAGGATTCCTCAAATACGCTTTTAGTTGTATCCTCACATACCTTGCGAGTATTAACCAATCAGATACAAACATATTTCTTTTTCCTCTTTCCAATCATATCAAGCCTCCTGTTATTACTTGAGTTACTTGAAGTAAGTTCCAACCGCTATTTCGAAAGCAATCACCTTAGGAATCTCAAATACCTTGTTCTATTTTCTGTTTCAAAGACAGAGCAAGCACAATGATTGTGAGAAAGAAATAAGGGAGAAATACAATAATCCACAAATCCAAAATACTGCTGATAGGCGCAGAATTCTCAATGGAACCTTAATGTGTTAACTGACAAAATTTTTTAGGAAGTCCTCACCTAAAAAATTAGCTACAGGAAAGTTGAAACTAAACCTAAACCTGGAGTCTAGTAAGACAGGCACACTTTATTGCTTATTTAACAACATGGGAATTACGCCTCTCAGCCTAGGAATCTGTAAGCTGTTAGAAACGTCTTCGGTAGACATGCTCAGTATCACTCCACAGGCTCGGTGCTTGAGGAATCTTAATTGTGGAGAGGCAACTGCTCTTGACCACCACTTAACTCCAAACTCATCGGGAGCCAGGAGCTCTGGCCTCTCACAGAGCCATATGACTAAGAAGTGGGTAGCAACATCATGACTGCAAAAAGCAAAGCTGCCCGAGTCCTAGTGATGTCTACTGGTATATTTACTATCTCATAATCACAGAGTCACAGAATAGTTGAGGTCAGAAGGGACCTCTGGAGATTGTCTAGTCCAACTCCTGCTCAAAACAGGGCCAGGTAGAGCAGGTTGCTTAGGGCCATATCAGTTTAGTTTTGAGTATCTCTGAGGCTGGAAACTCCACAACCTCCCTGGTCAACCCGTGCAAGTGCTCAGTCACCCTTACTGTTAAAAAAGTGTTTCCTGATGTTCAGAGGAAACCTTCTGTGCTTCAGTTTGTGCCCATTGCCTCTGGTCCTGTCACTGGGTACCACCGAAAAGAGTCTGGCTCCATTTTGTTTGCACTCTCCCTTCAGGTACTTAAATGCATTGATGAGATTTTTCCCCCTCAGCTTTCTCTTCTCCAGGTTGAACACGTCCAGTTCTCTCAGTCTTTCCTCATATGAGCAATGCTGCAGGCTGTTAATCATCTTTATGGTGTAGTGATGAGACAGCCTGGCAGAACACATTATCTTAAAACATTTCTTTGCTGAGTCTGAGATCGACATTGCCACGCTGGTCCTTGTAATGAAACACATCAACTACTACAATAGGTCTGCATATTTCAACCAGTAGCAGAGCTACAGATAGAAAAGAGAGAATTTTTATTGTTGAATATTTAACAAAAAGTTCAGCACTTACTTAATGGCTTCACACATGTCCAGTCCCATTTTCACACAATTCTTGGCATGATTTTGAAGAGATATAGGTAGCCCAGAAACACAATAATAGCAGTCACCTAGGATTTTAATTCTCATACATTCGTTTTCCTGGAGGAAAAAGCAAGGTGAGATGATCACTTTCAACTTATTAATATTTAATTACATAAATGAAGGGTTACTGTTACAAAGACTGACTTAAATGATATTAGCAAAATCATTCTACTTAAGCTTGTTTCCGTAGAGGGGGATTTGGCTTGCTAAAGAAGAAGTGCTGCCAGAGAGTTTTGTACGGATTATTCCTCCATCTGTTATTGTCCTTAATGGGCAAAACCAGGAAGTAAACTCACTGCAAAACATGTATCTGCTGTGTTGTTCACACCTTAGACTAAAGAACCGAGCCAAAGTATCATGTACTTGATCTAAACAAAGTCTTTTTGTTTGAAATATGAAATCAAAAGACCTAAACTTCCACATTTACATCTTTGAAGATGCAATACTTCCTGAAACTAGCAATCATAATCTTATTTCTACTTTTTGCACTTTAAGGCAATATAAAGATTTTTATGGGATTTTTTTTAACCAATAGTGGACAACAGTTCTTGAACTAATAAAAACCACAGAAAATTTTTATCTATTATAGTGTTTCTGAATTCATCTTCACATGTAGCATGAAGTTTGATGTAATTTTTATAAAAATGACACCTAAATAAACAGAAGAAAGTTGTCTGATTGTATTTGAATCTTTTCTTGAGTAATCAAGAGGCTGTGGTCAGTAATTAAAATTGCTTCAATCAATATTGTTTCCCTTGTCCTCCAATTTCTTAAATGCTTTTCCAGAGATCAGAAAACTGACTGTATCAGTTTTCTATCTTGAGCTTCTTAATCCTTGTTATTGTAAAAAATCTATTTGAAGACCTGTTCGCCTTCCATTAAGCTTTGGTAGGGCTCCATGAGCTGTCTCTATTGGTCCTATTAGAGAGAGCTATGTTGGGTTTCACAGATTGTCACACTGGCAGAAACACACTGTTATGCTGAGACCAGAGCCAGACTTTTTCTTCACACGTTTCAAGTCTAATCTTCCTGCCAAAGCCTCAGAAATGCCATCTGAAGGTAGAGGAGTCCCCCAAGAACAAAAAATATTTTAAAGATGGCTTACTTGTTTAAACCGACTCTAGCAGCCCAGTGGAAACCCACCTTTGCAATCTGATCAAACTTGCCAAACAGCTCATTTAGCATGTGCACCAGTTCTCCTGGCGAGCAGTCACTGGCCAGGCGAGTGAATCCCACGATATCAGCATACAAGATGCTACAATAGAAATGAACAGAAACTCGGTCACAGCTTCCTTCTGCAGAACTCAGATTTATCAATCAACAGCAAAACCTGAAAGTAGGCTTTCTGGACTTCAGAGAGGTATGCCTGTATGCAACACAGCCATTGCCAAATGTAGAGCAATAAACATAACTATATTTACAGGTAAACCTACATTTACCTTTACAGGTGTTACATTTATACATAATACATAGCTATTTTACCTTTATAGGTATTACTTTCACGTTATAAACTTTACAGGTATATCTATATTTATAGGCATTCTATACTCATATTTGTTACAATGTATTCAAAAAATCGAAACTATTTTCCTACTCCCAAATTGACAATATAATAATGGCAATTATTTCAATAAACATGTTTGTTACCAGAAATTGTTTAATAACTTTTTGTCATTGTAGATATTTTCTGTCTAGATTTACCTGGCAACGATATGCAGCATGGAAGTCTTTGTTCACTTGTTACTCAGACTATTAAATTCAAGCTTGATTGCTAAGAAATTCAAGCCATATACTATGTTCCTATTCACCAAGAAAACTTGACCAATTCATTGAATCAGGCTAAGGAAAAAGTATTTGTGCTTGCAAGTCAAAATTCACTTCTCACAAGTCCTGCAATGCTTGCTTTAAACATGCAGTTTCTAAGAATGTCATACAAATTAACTTGTCTAATCAAAAAAACAGGCAAAACGACTTGTGAAGATGAAAGAATATTTGAAATAAATGGTGAATTATTTTTCTAACTGCTAGAAAATTATAATTAATAAATAATTAGATTTGTCAGCAGAATATTTTATCTCAGGTACTGTGTAAAATACATATCAGATACACTATATCAAACCTGAGAAATCACTCCAGTTCAGAAAATTACAAATTCAGAATAATATAACTGACACAAATTGCAATTTTGACTAGTATACTTGAAAGCAGGATTTGGTACTTTAACCTGAAAAATTAGACATTATGAAGAAAGCCTGTTAATGCCTGGCTTTTCCTAAATAACCCCTTTGTATTATCACCTTTGTTGCTCTTCTGGAACACAGACTTGTTGGCATTTGATCAAATTAACAGATACTAACATTATGTTGTTCAAAAACATATTAGAACAATTATTTTCTTAAATGCTCTCTTAACACTTCTTTTTTAATTCTTTTTTCTGAATGTTTTTCCATACATTTTATTACAGTACAATACCTTACATTGGTGTGCCTTTTGACATACAAATTGTGGAAGTTGTTGGTGTTTTCCAGCTGGCCTGCCTTAGGACCTTGTAACCTCTGAATGATCTCTGCTTTCATTTCCATGGCAATGTGAGCAGGCAGTAAAGAAAGTAGAAGACGCTCCTAAAATTTAAAACGAAACATCCACAGTTTCTTTAAGGAGAACTAAAGAGGCATGGAAGCAATAACGTGTAAGGAATACGCTATTGTAATACCTTAGAACATTTCAATGAGGGCTGCATTCAGACATGCATGCTGTGGCCTCCAAAATTAATCAGTTCCTTGAAGAACTTGACAGATATACACACGTATTTCCAAGTAATTAACTTCTTCAAGGTTTTGTGTATATTAGAAAAAGCTTAAGCTAAACTTAATGTCTGAAGAAGTTATGTACAGTAATCTATTCAGTATCTGAGTAGGATGAAGGAAATACAGATCAGCAAACGAAGCCAGAGCTTCACGGACTGTTTAGAAGACTTCAGGGAAATGCAGTTCAATTCAAGCAAGAGTAGGCTAAATAATTTTTTTTAACATATTTTAAATGTGTAGTCATAGTTTTAGCAGTTGTTAGACCGAAAATGAAAACATACAGGACACAGAACATACTGAAAATGGTGGAGTTTTACAGACTATTTTGATACGTGCTCTCCCCTTACTTTAATATGGCATTTTACAAATTAAAGTTGTTTGAAAATATTATCCTGAAACGAAATAGAATATTTTTTTGAAAAAGCCTACATATTTTTCCTTATCTTTTGTTGGTAAGATGATATAAAATAAATGTATGGTCCTCTCCTTGTGAAGGTCTCTTACATCAGTACATTTTAATTTTGCCAATTTTACCTGTGACGGCTTTTCACTGAGTTCCTACTTCTCTGGAAAATGAACCAACAAAGGAATAGCTAGAACTCTGCCCAAAAAAAATCTTCCTGCTTTGATCATACTCCACCTCAAAACTGAACAAGAATTTCTCATTTTCTTGTAGGCAGAAGGGAGAGGCTAATTCTGGCTAAGCACAAAAACCAGAAGCCTGAACCAATGAGAAGAGGGAAGGCAGCTCTAAAAGTCTAGGATGGAGTCAGAGAGAGAAACAGCTATGCCAGAAGAGATGGTAACCTCAAAATGTGCATGGTCTGCAGGTGTTAGTCCCAGCGATGCGTTCTTTTTGGTTAACAACATGTATTTTTTCAGAGTCTGCAGCTCTACTCATAAAGGTACCAGAAGAAGTGTAACCATTAGTCCAATGCTCTGCCTGGGATAATCATAGAATCATAGAATGGTTTGGGTTGGAAGGGACCTTAAAGATCATCTAGTTGCAACCCCCCTGCCATGGGCAGAGAAATCCTCCACTACACCAGGCTGCCCAAAGCCTCATCTAACCTGGCCTTGAATGCTTCCAGGGATGGGGCAGCCACAACTTTTCTGGGCAACAAGTTCCAGTGCCTCACCACCCTCTGAGTGAAAAATTTCTTCCTTATATCCAATCTGAATCTCCTCTCTTTCAGTTTAAATCCGTTGCCCCTTGTCCTATCAGTACACTCTCTTGTAAAAAGTCCCTCTCCAGCTTTCTTGTAGGCCCCCTTTAGGTATTGGAAGTCTGCGATAAGATCACCCAGTTGTCTTCTCCAGGCTGAACAATCTCAACTCTCTCAGCCTGGCTTCATAGCAGAGGTGCTCCAGCGCTCGCATCATCTTCATGGCCCTCCTCTGGACCCGCTCCAAGAGGTCCATGTCCTTCGGGACTCCAGAGCTGAATGCAGTATTCCAGGTGGGGTCTCATGAGAGCAGAGTAGAGGGGCAGAATCACCTCCCTCGACCTGCTGGCCACACTTCTTTTGATGCAGCACAGGATACGATTGGCTTTCTGG